TCATAATGTATCACCTCATCATCTGCATACACAGTATACGCTTTCCTTGTGCGGTAGTTTCGTACCTTCCAACAAACCAGAAAAGATAATACTTCCTCTAGTAAACAAAAGAAACAAAACTTTGTATTTAACATTCCGTATGTGAAGAATGTTACACTTATTTCATATATTCTTTTTTAATATTTTTCATTATTAGATAAAATATATGTAAACTTTTGCTTTGAGTTTAATTTTGATACACAGTAAAAAAGAAGTAGGAGAGAAAATATAATGAACTATACGTAAATGTTTAAGATTTTTGGATTGAAAGAAGTCAAAAATTAAGAAGAAAAAAAACAGTATTCTTTTGATGTGCTTGTTTGATTGTATAGGAAAAAGAATGAATTTATTTTCTTGAAAAGACATATTTGTCTTTAACATATAATATAATGTATAAAAATAATAACAAGGTTAGAGTTGTAGTTTTATGTGTGGGTCTCACACATTTTAACTTTCTTTTTTATTTTCTTTTCATCTTAAAAGAGAATTTTTTTTTAATGAGTTTCACACAAATAATTTTTATTTTCTCTACTTCTCTCTTTATCCAAACAACATAAAAATAACTTTTTCTCTAACACCTTTCTCTCTTCTTAATCTAGATGTATATCTGCGTAATATACAAAGGATAAATATTAAGATTTTACAATATTGATAAATTAAATTTATTCTATATACAATTTTAAAGTAATTATTATTAAAAAAACTATTGAATGAAACAGCCGTTTGAAATTTTTCAAAAACTCTGAAACTTGTAGTTGTATATAGTGATATTCCTCCATTTTAGATGCTAAAATTTAGAGTAATTGGAAAATAATGAAAATATGATACATACATATAGCACTCTAGGAAAAAGACAATGGATGACTTAAGTGGGGGATTAGCTCATGATCTAAGGTTCTCTTTAGTAATGGAACTGCCTAGAGATGCACAAATTGTCCTCCACTGAGGCGTGGTGGATTTGATAGGGTGAACAGGAAATAGGATAGGATAATGCTGAATTGTGTAAAAATAAAACAAGTTGGGTAGCTACGAAAATTAATCACATTGAACCAAATAATGAGTCAATAGGAAGAGGAAAAGGGAGACAAGGAGCATATTATGGAAAAGTTAGAAACCGAGTGAACAAGAGAGGACGGTCCCTCCAACCACTCACCATCTTATTTCATCAAATGCCCCTCTCTTTTCACTCCCTCACCAATTTCTTTTACAAAGACTACCATTTTCATCAATCTTTTATTTTTCTAATCTAAACCTATAGAACAAACGGTCCAAAATACTAAAAAAGTTATACACCAACAACGTCATCCATAATGACAAATTACCTTATATGATAAATTTATTAATTTTTAAAATAATTACCTTAAAGGTCAAATTAATTAATGATAGTTTTAATTGATGTAAAATATTTTATTTCGACAATGACTGTTAGTCTCGATATAAATATACATATATAATACCTTTCCTCTTTTAAAGATCAAGTATATGAATTTTACAATATATAATAAAATTAAAAGTACTTGACAATTTAAAAGTAAATAATAACCACATTTATCATAATTTGTTTTAGTTTTATTTTTTCGATTCAAGCATAATTATATAGTTACAATTATGATTCCATCTTTGTTTTTGTCTACAAACAATTAAACTTAGATATGACTTCAACTATATAGTTATAAATTATAATTATGTTGTTCACTTCATATTGTCTATCAATGATTATACATGCACAAACATTTAGCAATGTTCTCATAAATATGAAATGAGACTATCAGAGTGTGATAACTATATTAAAAATCATCTTTTATTTTCAATTAGCATGTGTAATGTAATGTATATATATATAAATAAGTTTTCACTAATTCGTGATTTTTCTTAGAAACTATTTTATCTAATTTGTTTTCACTGATAAAAAGTATTTGTATTGTACGTATCTATTTGAGCTTTTAATAGAGATTTTACGCAAAACAAACTTTCGGATACAATTTTGTTGACATTTCTATTGAGTTTTTATTTTTACCAACCCTTATCTTGGAGTGACAAAATGGGTTGGGTCCCACGGACCAATTAATATGCTTAACCCACCTTAATAGAATTGGATAAATTCATTCTTTAACCTATTAATTTACTTTGACCTATCTTATTTCACTTGTCAAAATGTAGTTGATAACAAAGTAAGATGAGTTAATCCGCTTACTCACATAATTATTTATTTTATATTTTATTAAATTAACATAATAATAATAATAATAATAATAATATTATTATTATTATTATTATTATATATATAACACCCGTCAAATTTAGGTATCAAGTAATGCAATAAGAACTTTTAAATTACAAAATGGAATGTTCAATCCAATGAACTATATAATAAAGTTACAATATTTAATTTGTTTGTCAACTTTTTGTTTTGGCATGTCTACCTACTATTAAATATTTCGATTGAGATTTTCAACCCATTTTTTATATGATGCAGAACGGGTTTGACTTGTTTTAAATATGTTCATTGTGGAATAATGTGAGTTGACTTTTTGTCACTCTTATGTTTTGCTATATTACTTTGACAACTTTAATAAAACTTGTCTATACATGATTAGTTGAATGCTAAAAATTTAAATGAATTAATTTAATTTTATGAAAGATTTCAATTGTCTTGGGATGAAATATCATGTTTGGGTAAAAAAATAGAAATATAAACATTTTTAATTCTTTAAAATAATAGAATTTTAAATTCTTCTAAAAAGTAAGAATTTGAAATACTTCATATTTTTCTTTCTTATCTCGTGTATATATCTTTTATATCTCTCCCTTATCTCTTATATTTTCTCTTGCTCGTCTCTTTCATCTCTTATACTATATTTTCTCTATCTCCGTTCTCTGCTATTTCTCTTTCCTTTTTTCTCTCTCCCAATTTTTTTCTTAATTATTTAATATTTAAAAATATTTTTTGAATTATTAAAAAATATCTAATGTTAATTTTTGAAACTATTAAATATTTAAAATTGACTAATATTTATTTTTATAATATTTAATTTTAAAATTTTAATATATATATATAATCAATTTTAATTATGGTAAAAATTAAATTACTATATCCAAACTAAAAATTTAAAATTTAAGAAACTTAAATTGACTTATCCAAATAAAATGTTTAAAAATAATAAAAATTAAAATCAAAACAATTCAAAATTTAAAAATCTCAAATTTTTTGAATTTATAAAATTCTTAATTCAAACACACCCTTATCATTGTTTAATTTTGATTTAATAATCTTACTTATAATAAACGAATAACTTTTCCATAATTTTTCGTGGAAGAATTTTTTACTATTAAGTACATGCATGTAACTAAAGCTATGTTACTTAAAAAATTTATTTATTTACATATTTATTTATTTAAATATATAACTTCTATTATAAATATTAACTTAATTTTCACATACAAAATTATTTTATATTTAAATTAATTGATTCTCTTATATTAATGCTATCTTTGCCAGTTCTTCAATTTCTACGTACAAAACACAAATACTTATTATCACAGTTATATTTAAACTATTACATCTTTATAATTATATTTAAATTTGTAAAATGATATATTAATATTAATTTTGAAAAAAAGATTGAAAGATATATTTTTTATTTGAATAAAATTAATTATTATATTTAAATAAATAAATTATAAAAAATAAACGCTCCAATATCAAGAACATATAAGACAAATTGAAAAAAAATGAAAAACGTCGTAGTCGACAAATATACAATTGACAAAATTATTATATTATATCATCTCTATATTTAATGAAATTTGAATGTAAAATAATCAACATAAATATTTATAATTTTTAATATCAAAATTAATATTATTATTAGTGAGAAAATAATATATTAAATACTATAATGTTTGTTTCTGTAATATAATTTTATGATTTATAGTTTTTTATTAATTATATTTAAATTTTTATATTAAGAATGTAATTATTAATTAATGTAAAATATTGATTTTTATTAATATTTTAAAATATAATAATTATGTTGAATATTTATAAAATTTTATTTTTTAAAATATATGCATAGTTTATTATATATAATAGATAATATAAATAAAATCAATATAATTATTTTCATAATTCAAACATGTCCTTATCGTATTGACTACTAAACTAATAAATATATAATTTAACTTTTACAATGACTTATACATTTATATTTTTCCCAAAATAAGTATATACTAAATATCCTTAAACAATTAAATATTTTATATTTATTCCAACATTGTTTACCAAATTTAAATTTAGGAAAATAAAAGGATAACTCTTCCATCGCAAATTCTACGATACATGCATATATTTAGCCTTGCATTTAATGATAAGACTTTCATCGTGAAAGAATTTTTTAATTTTCTCATGTAGTTATTTCTTTTAAGATTATGATTTTGTACAATTTGTACATGTTAACAAACATTAAATACCTATATTTTTTTTACCACTTTTTCAATTAAGGATATTGAAAAACACAAAATCAAAGCATTTTTGTTTTAGTTTTTTATAATCTTGTTCTTTCACTAATAAAGTGTATTATAATTGTTAAATAATCTCAATTTTGTAGTATGTGATGAGAAGATATCATTCTCTTAAATAAAAACTAATCTTTAACTTTTGACTATAAGAGATATATATTTTGATTTATCAAAAACTAGTGAATAATATTATATGTACACTAAATACAAAATTTAGAAATATATTTATTAATAATGAAAAAAATGAATATAAAATTAATATTGTAGAATTTTATTTGTACACGTAACATTATTTAACAATTCATTCATGCACACAAAAAAGTGTCTTAATTTTGTCTGAAAGAATTAATATTATAGTAAATGTCATATATTTTGTTTCCTTTTTTACCACGACTAATACTAATACTGATTCTCGTACACAAAGAAGAAGCACCAACCAAATTTAATAGACTCGGCGGCCAAAGAGAGTGCACAGCAACAAACACAAAGAGGAAGAGAGAACTCAAAAAGTAGACACACACTATAAGAGAAGCCAAACAAACCAATCTAACATCTCTCAGTGATGTTGAAACACACTTCTTAGTTCTTCTTCCTTTCCCATTCATTTTTTTATTGTTTCTTTTAGTCAAAGTCCCAAGCAACTCCACCCTCCAAGTTTACTCTCTCAGCTCTTCTTCCCTTTTGTCAGATCTCGATCCTCCAAACTCAATCCTTGCACACTTGTTATTTAATAGCGTTTCTTCATTTCTTGCTTGCAGGGTTAGTAATAGTATCTTGTGCATTGAAAACTGCCAATTCCTTAGTGCTGCATAAAACCATATTTAAGGCCCTGCCACTCTTACAATTTGGTTGTGTATTGAGTTTAAAGAGTTCAAAAATCAAAACCCTCTGAAATCATCACCAAAAAACAACATCACCTACCCAATAAAGTCGAGTTACTATCTTCTCTTTTTGCCTAAAACAGCTTCCTTGACAGTCTCACACACTCATCTATTACTATTAAATTTAAACCTCTCTGTTTCCGTGTTATAAGAGAACACTCTCACCTTTCAACATTGACAAATATCAGGTGAGTTTTGTTTTTTTTTTTTGAACTACATGGTTTGGTTTTGTATCTTTCATGGAGCAAAATCTCTCTCTCTCTCTCTCTCTTTTCTCTTGTCAATTTCTGACTTTCTTTCTCGGGTTTGGTAAATGTCTAACTAACTCACTGTTTGACACACTATCTTAGAACAATGTTACCCCAGAAGCAAGGTGAAGAAACCATGATGTCAAGCCTTAACGAGACTATTGAGCGTGAGGAGAGAGAGGAACAGAAGGAGGATAGTTCACATTCAAGTTTGAGGAGCCTTCTCTGGCATGGTGGGTCTGCTTATGATGCATGGTTCAGTTGTGCCTCAAATCAGGTAGCCAAAAATAAGCCCATAGAGTGTCACTCTCATCATTGGTACTTAGATTCTGTAAGAGAATTTGGTTTGATTACGTTTCTGGTTTTGTGCGTTGCAGGTTGCGCAGGTTCTGCTAACACTGCCATACTCTTTCTCTCAGCTTGGAATGCTTTCTGGCATCATATTCCAAGTATTCTATGGCCTACTTGGAAGTTGGACTGCATATTTGATTAGCATTCTGTACATCGAGTACAGGACCAGAAAAGAGAAAGAGAATGTCAGCTTCAAAAACCATGTCATTCAGGTTAGACCAAAAAAATTAAATAAAAAAATATTATTTTATAGCGGAAAATTTAGTCTAATTTCAATTTTTGCAGTGGTTTGAAGTGCTGGAAGGTTTACTAGGTCCATATTGGAAGGCCATTGGCTTGGCCTTCAATTGCACTTTTCTCCTCTTTGGATCTGTCATCCAGCTTATAGCTTGTGCAAGGTATGAATTTCCTTTAATTATAGTCAAGTTTTTTAAATCAGAAGAAATTGTAGATAAATGCGACTGATGTAACTACAATTGGGGTATCACATAACTCAAAAACCTTAATGTTGCGGCTAAAATCAAATTTTAAAGAACTTTGGTTATATAGTGTTGTGTTTGATAATTTTGTTGATTTTTAAGTGGGTGATTTTGTGGTTTGGGGTATGGCAGCAACATATACTACATAAATGACCACTTGGATAAGAGGACCTGGACTTACATATTCGGAGCATGCTGTGCCACCACAGTGTTCATACCATCATTTCACAACTACAGGATTTGGTCTTTCCTTGGCCTTGGCATGACCACGTACACAGCTTGGTACTTGACCATCGCATCCCTCGTTCATGGCCAGGTAAGCAATGCCAAGTACAACGGTCTTGATTTCTTCAGTGGGGCCTCTCTCGTTTCACGTCGTTTGATCATAATAACAATTGCACTTGCTATTAAACCCTCTTTAATTTTGCAGGTTGAAAATGTGACTCACACGGGCCCAAACAAAATGGTTTTGTATTTCACTGGCGCCACCAACATACTCTACACTTTCGGCGGGCACGCCGTCACAGTGTAAGACCCCATTTTTTTAATATATTGCTAATTGAGTTAGACAAAACAATGATGATAGTTTTCTTTATTGTCTTAAGACAATGAAACATCAAGGAGAGTAGAAGTTTATTGCACGACCACTTTCTTCAATTGCAGCTTTTGCCTCCATTCTAATGGGACCTTACAAAATAAGACAAAACAGTAAATCTGCCACTTTTGAACAACCATTACACCGCTGTCTAAATTCATCAATCTTTAGATTTTGCATTTCTTCTAACTCCAATACGTATTCCAGTAGTGACATTTCACCTTATGTTACGTAGTACGATTAAAAAGGAATGGGTGTTTTTTTTATGGCTACATTGAAAAAAATATATAAACAAGAACTATGCTATGGGGCCACGGTTTTTGAAAACAAGAGATTAGTACCAAAATATGCAATTCTTTATATTATTAAAAAATATTCTCCGATGTGCGATTTGTTTCCTTTCTAATATAATTTCAACCTTTTTCGGGTACAGCAATGGATTTACCCAAAACATGAAAAGGTGCAAAGTGAGTTAGAAAACAATTCTAACTCATTTGGACATATATATCCCAGGGCTGACAAACCCAATTTTAATTTGAACTTGGAGCATATTAGTAGAAATAGAAGGAATATGATTTTGAGATGAGAGCATCTGGGTCATTTACAGATTTAAATTGCTGTTGTTGCATTATGCACTAACGTGGACCCTATGACCATTACAGGGAAATCATGCATGCAATGTGGAAACCTCAAAAGTTCAAATACATCTATCTTTATGCTACTCTTTATGTATTCACACTCACCCTACCATCTGCCACTGCCGTTTACTGGGCCTTTGGTGACCAACTCTTGGACCACTCCAATGCTTTCTCCCTTCTTCCCCGCAACGGTTGGCGTGATGCAGGCGTCGTCTTAATGCTCATTCACCAGGTTCGTATGCATTGATTCCAATAAATTTCAGCCAATAATATAGAAAAAGTTTTAAAGAGAGGGTTGCTAATTTCTGATAAATGAAAGTTACTTGTACAAATGTAAAAGAAAAGAAAACAAAAGTGACTAAAATAAAAAGTAGTTTTATGAACTGATGATGTTTTATTTATTATTACTATTACTATGTGAATGGCAGTTCATCACTTTTGGATTTGCTTGCACACCATTGTACTTTGTGTGGGAGAAAGTGATAGGAATGCATGACACTAAGAGCATATGTTTGAGGGCTCTTGCAAGGTTGCCTGTGGTGATACCAATATGGTTTTTAGCTATTATTTTCCCTTTCTTTGGTCCTATCAACTCTGCGGTGGGGGCTCTTTTGGTTAGTTTCACCGTCTACATCATCCCTGCCTCTGCTCATATGCTCACTTACAGATCTGCTTCTGCACGACAGGTAAATAGTCCATTCTCTCCATATCTCATCTTTGTTTCTACAATCAACCTAATCTTTGTCTCATTCAACTGCCTCTACTTTGCATACAATGATTTTCTCTAAACTCATAATGTATGGTCATGTCATATGATAATATTCACTGTTTAGGCTAGTACTACTCAATATGGGTTTTAATAGGCTGCTAAATTGTACATTCTATGCACAACTTGTAGCTACCTATAATAGTACGAAACATTTAATTATGCATTGTTTTCGGCTACCTATTTAAAAGGCTAAATTGAACCTTTAAAAGAAAGCTTTCAATATCTAGGACCGTCTATTTTTATGAGCAGGTATTCCTAAAAAGTATCCTATTAGATTCTTAAAACTCATTGTGACATGGTGTAGTAGTGTTTGAAGATATGATTTCAGCTCCATGATTTAACCTGGAAGAGACTTCCCATGTCAGTGGCAGTATAAGGCCTGTCCCACTAGTTCTATTAATTATTCAAATTGAAAATTTATGAGACACGATGGGGTTGGTGCCATATCTTTGTCATTCAGTTAAATGCTATAGTCATATTACCACTGATACTATGCTAATCACATGTCCACATTTTAGCAATGAGATGGGCCATATGGCCAACCTAACGCTGTGAAGTGACCCTACTTGGTTACTTACATCACTGTTCTTACTCTATCCTAACAGATGCTCATAATAAGTCAGCAACTTATTACAGTGACTAACACTACTATTTGTCTTATTAACAGTTCAAGCCACAAGTTAACATTTAACATTTAACAATTTATTTGTGTTTTATGTTTTCAGAATGCTGCTGAGAAATTGCCCTTCTTAATCCCAAGTTGGACAGCAGTGTATGTGATAAATGCATTTGTGGTGGTGTGGGTTCTAGTGGTAGGATTTGGATTTGGAGGATGGGCTAGCATGACAAACTTCATCAAACAGGTTGACACATTTGGATTGTTTGCAAAGTGCTACCAGTGCCCCCCTAAAATACCAGCTTCCAACCATACACTGCATCACTGAAAGTTATATATGTTCTTTTGCATGATACATATAGGGACACATCAGCATCTTCCTCTTCTCTATTTTCCCTATCTTTTTTGTTTAATCTCCATATAAATATTGTTAATGCTGATGTTCCCTTGTGTAGCAAGGCAATGTTGTTATATTTGGCTTTGGAATCATTTTGGTTAATCATAAACATGGAATCATGGACTATAGTTAGCATATGTAGGGCTTGGTGTTTGGCAATTGGCATATAGCGACCTCAAGTATAGCCTGCATGCATGTTTCCAATAATGTCTTCGCTTTCCAATATAATCATTTTTTCCTCTTAAAATCTCAAGTATTTTTAGATCATGTATGTTTGGTGAAAGTTAAGATATAAAAGCGTGTAGTATATGTTGCTTCCTATCTTCCAAGCCTACTCATAACGGTATTTCTCATGATTAATTAACAAGCTAAATTGAAAGTCTTGACAAACATTTTTTTATACGTACTAATAAATGATTCCATCGTTCACCTGAAGCCATTATCATTATGTTATGTTCAATTGCATTGTACGTTTGACTGGTCAAAATTGGAATTTGATGAGCTTGAAAAAAGGGGATTGGGGTGTATGTATGACTTGGAAAGGTTTGGTGGGCAATAATTGAGGATTTTGTAAAGGGTTATTTGACTTTGGTGTTTGCACCTTTCACCTTTAGCTATATTCCCTGAATCTCAGCCATTGCTTACTATCACGACCTCTCGAGTTAAAGCTTTTTTAAAGGCTCGAGTCTTGTTTAGAAATATAGAATCCTAAGGTGGAGCTTGAATTGAGGGGAAAATAGTAAAATTCTTCTCCAAATCCAATTGTGTGGCAATGACAGATGATTTTTCATTTTGCTTCCTCAGCCAAAATGCCATAAGCAAAAGGGCCATCCTTTGTTTCTGTTTCCATATTTTTGGATCAAATTATCACAAGTACTCTACGCATCAAATCGAATCGAATATATGTGCACTGTGTGTGCAGCTACAAAAATAAGTATAGTTTTTTTTATGGCTTTTTGACCAAAGTGGGGTCGTTGACCAACTTATTTACGAAAATGAGGTTCTTTTGAAAGTATTTACGCCTTTGGGGCTGTTTATAACGGTGTCGCTATGGCCCATAGCGACACCGGTAACACGTGGCATTTTTTTTTTGCCCAAAATAGGCTGGACTGAGCCACATCAGTGTTGTTATGGACTGGGCCACCACAGTTGATGGACCAACAGAAATGATGTAGCCCATAGCGACACCATGTAAGAAAAAAAAGAAAAAAACAAAAATAATTTAAATGTAACTTAAAAATAATAAATTGAGTTATTTATTATATATTTATAAAAATAAAAATAAGTTGTTTAAAAACGTAATTTTAAAATATGTATTTTAATTATTTATAAGAGTGGCGCTATGGCCTAGTGTCGCTATAGGCCATAGCGACACTAATTTTTTTTTTTAATTATTAACTTATTTTATTTTAAAATTTCTTTATTTTATATTAATTTTATATTTCTGTTATTATAAAAATTTATTTAATTTCAACAAATTATTTGAAAATGCATGTGGCAGACAAATTGGGTCATGAGATGCCAGGTTGAATATTTTTGGCTTCATTGTGGAGATTGAGATGACCGAAAAGACTTGCATTATGTGTGAAAGATAAGACAAAATTAAGGCCTCACAATATTATTTACTCCATCTTTCTAGTGATAAGCCTGCTATATTGGTCCGTTTCCTTATTTCCCCTCACGAGTCGCTATGGCCTATAGCGCCGAAAATTCGCTATAGGCCACAGCGACTTGTTTTCTTCTTTTTTTTTCTTTTCTTTTCTTTTCAAATTTTAAAATATTAATTTAATAAAGAAAATACAGAAAAGATAAATATATAAATATAGATTTATATAAAATTCATAAAATAAATTAAAAAGTGAAAAAAATAAATTAAATAAATAATTAAAAGTGGCGCTATGGCCTATAGCGACACAGTGTCG